CCGTGCATTGGAGACATGTATTATTTGAGCGAAGGAAGACGAGGTGGAGAGAGGGAGAGGAGGGAAGAGAAGTGAAAAAAAGAGAGAGAGAGAGAGAAGGTGGGAGAGAAAAACAGACATAGATAGAGAAAGGGAGAGACAAAGAGAAGGGGGGGAGGGAATACAACTGTTCAATTACTTTGCGGATGTGGAAAGCGAAGAAGGTTGCGTCACATTACGGACCCTTTTCGTTCTGTCGTAGTTATAGCGTCGACCTCGCTCGCTGCAACCGCCATTTTTCTGTTACGCAGGTCTCCCTCCGCCTCCTTTTTTCCCGGGCAATTACGGCGGGTACAAGCGCATTGTTGGTGTCTTTTGAGTCGGGAGGAGGGAGGAAGGATGAAGATGGGGGGGGGGGGGTCGAATCGTCGCTGGATTTTGCTGTAGTCACTCTTTAGCTTCTCTTTCTGTCTTCTCTCTCTGTCTCTTTCGGTCTCTCTCTCTCTGTCTCTTTCGGTCTCTCTCTCTCTGTCTCTTTCGGTCTCTCTCTCTCTGTCTCTCTCTCTCTCTCTCTCTCTCTCTCTCTCTCTCTCTCTCTCTCTCTCTCTCTCTCTCTCTCTCTCTCTCTCTCTCTCTCTCTCTCGTCTCTCTCTCTCTCTCGGTCTCTCTCTCTCTCTCTCGGTCTCTCTCTCTCTCTCGGTCTCTCTCTCTCTCTCTCGGTCTCTCTCTCTCTCTCTCTCTCTCTCTCTCTCTCTCTCTCTCTCTCTCTCTCTCTCTCTCTCTCTCTCTCTCTCTCTCTCTCTCTCTCTCTGTCTCTCTCTCTGTCTCTCTCTCTCTCTCTCTGTCTGTCTCTCTCTCTCTCTCTCTCTCTCTCTCTCTCTCTCTCTCTCTCTCTCTCTCTCTCTCTCTCTCTCTCTCTCTCTCTCTCTCTCTCTCTCTCTCTCCCCCCTCCCTCCCTCCCTCCCTCCCTCCCTCCCTGTTCCCCTCCCCCTCTCTAATTCACCCTCCCCCTTCACCTCTCTCGCTCACAAATGAAAGAGATAGAGATAGAGATAGAGATAGAGATGCGGCGATGAAAGAGCCATCATCTGAGCAGTGCTAGAGTTGCGGGCGCCATTTGCTTGTCTCCGACGGAATCCCGTAGTTGCGACGGATACCTTGGGGTTCGCTTTTATTGAGTAGGAAGGCGTGCTTTCTAGGGTCCACGCTCAGGGTTGTAATTATTATTGTTGTTGTTATTGGTATTATGGATTTTTATTTTTTTGTATTGTGTTATTTAGTTGTTTTTAAAATTTCCCTTTTTATGATTATAGATTAAAGAACGGATAGAGTGAGGGAGAGGTACATATATAGCTTTCTGTAAGTCTTTGTATCGTTCTGTCTATCTGTCCATCTCTCAATAATTTTATCTGTCTGTCTGTCCATGTACCACCCGTGAAAGCGAAATGATATAGGCTGTGTGCGTGATAAAGTGCCGGCAAAACTCCATGGTTCGGGGAGCCAGGAGAAAGTCAAACAAGAGCCAGTGCCGTATACAGTATATGCTATATACGCATGAAGAAGCTTGCATGATTCAGAGGTAGCCCCCCCTTCTCTGTCTGTCTCTCTCTCTCTCTCTCTCTCTCTCTCTCTCTCTCTCTCTCTCTCTCTCTCTCTCTCTCTCTCTCTCTCTCTCTCTCTCTCTCTCTCTCTCCCCCTCCCTCTCCCACTCCCACTCCCTCTCCCTCTCCCACTCCCACTCCCTCTCCCTCTCCCTCTCCCTCCCTTTCCCTCCCTCCCTCCCTCCCTCCCTCCCTCCCTCCCTCCCCCTCTCTTCCCCCCCTCCCTCCCCTCCCTGTGTGTATGTGTGTGTGTGTGTGTGTGTGTGTGTGTGTGTGTGTGTGTGTGTGTGTGTGTATTTTAGTTTAGTTTAGTTTGTATGTTTACATCATACAGAATATGTTGTTTTGTCCTGCACGGCTGAACTAGTAAAAGTAGACCGAAAGTGAAGGCATCGCAAGTGATTCCAGTCTTCCTTGTTTTGACATGCATTATTCAGCGGAGGAATTGGAAGGGAAAAGGGAAAGGGAAAGTCATCGTGATTACTCTAGTATAATGATAGTATTGGTATTATTAATGAAATGTATGTATATACAAGGTAATAATAATTTGTGCACTGAAAACTTGAAAGGTTTTGCGTGTTCGAAAGGAAACGAAAATTAGAACGAAAGCAGAGGGAGAGCGAGCGTGCTGGACGATGTAGGTTATTATTGTGGAAGGTGTGTCGTGGGAAGTTACCCAACCCCCCCCTTACCTCCCCTCCCTTCGCCGCCCCCCCCCCCTCACCCCTCCCTTGTGGTTCTGTTCCTTTTTTTTCCTTTCTTTTTTTTTTGTGTCTTGAGTCTTTTTGCGTGTCTTTTCGACTGCGGAGAGCGTGCGTGACCCAGCGAGTGTCCGCGGTTGCGCCGGTTTTTGTAGGTAATGGTGTGCGATTGGCCTCGGATGGCTGAGCCAGCAGTACCAAGGTGAAAGTTTATGTGCA